GGTAACACTCGTGATGCACACATTTATTAGTGTCATCCATTATACACATTTATAGAATGATAAATTATGAATTATATATTTATAATATCATTAAAAAAATGTATAACATTTAAAAACAATAATGTAATTAAAGTCATACTTGAAATATGACATGATCGGTTTGTCATTGTAATTAGCATTTAGAAACGAACCTTCATTAGAGAAATGAAGTAATTGCTGATTTATAAATTCTATAATATTCGTTCACACAGTGGAATATATTAAACAACGCCTAAACAAATATTGTTCTCGCAACTTCACTCATCATGTAATTGTGTTTCAAGAACTTTATGTAATTAAAATTAACATACATTCATTGACTGCTTGTATTTTTTTTTACTTTTTCGCTGGCGATATAATCTCAATATTTGAACAGCTTTAATATCTGTCTTGCCTAAAAAATATTTTCCATTTTAATAACTTCAAAGATTTATAGAAACTAACGAATAATATAGAAATAATTTCTAATCATAATCCACGGCACAAATTTGTTTTATTATTTTCAAGAAACAGGGTTAAAATATTATTCTGATTCAGGCATTTTTCAGTAAATCAAGATTTGTACTGCGATGTAACTTTAAACTTTAAAATGTTTATTTATCTATGCCGATTTCCTTGTTGATATCGGTACGCATACAACGTTAATGCTGGTATGCATACAACGTTGATGTCGGCACGCATGCAACGACAGATCTCTATTCACATATACGACGACTAATCACAATCGACCCGTATAGAAATGATACCATAGAGAGCGAATGACGAATCAACCATGACCGCATTTGTACGGATTTACACTTCAGTCGCGCCTTAAGAACTTTTACTTCAAAAATGAATGTATGTATGTGTTTTTTGTATAGCGAAGGAAATGCATTTATGCATCCCAGACTGGTCAAAATGTCTGGGTATGTCGGACTCAATACCGCCCGGGTATAATACCGACTAAAACCTCCGCTTTGTCCTTGCTTCTGGTTCCCACGGAAACTGTGTTAGGCATTACTTCGTGGGAGAGAGGATCTAAAATGTTCTCTATAATAATTCTCTAATAATTCTCACCTTGATATTATACTTATCTTTTAATTGAGCGATCGCCCTTTCTATTTTCATAGAACGCAGGTCAATTAGCACATCTCTCGCAAATCAGTCTATGGCGTTCCATGCAGCTTCAGTTGTCAGCATCACTTCAACAACAGTATCTGGAGTAATTCTTTGCCTCAATATCTCTTCTACATCGTCCCGTAAAGCACTAAATCGCGGGCACACAAAGAACACGTGCTCAACATCTTCGATTTTGCCCAAACAATATGGGCAATCCGGCGAGCTATCGTGCTTGAACAGCCGTGATCAGATAGATTTGCGTAGTGTAATAATTTACTTCTCTATGCTTGAGATTTAGCCAGACTTTGATGTCTGGAATGAGACGGTGCGTCCATTTGCCCTTCACTGCGATATGTCACAGCTGCCATCGATCAATGCTGTACTTCAGGACTCAGTTGTTTATGTCTTCGATGGTAAATTTCTTTCCTCTACTAAGGGAGGCAGAGTTCCTGAAATGATTTCTCCGATTTCTCGTTGACTGAAATGCTTTCTCCGATATTGTGCAAAATGCCCAAGCAACTCTTAAAGCACTCAGACAAGTAGGTCCTGCTATTTTCCTTGATTTTTGAGTTTTGAGAGCATCAGCCCATATGGAGATACCATATGTAAGCACCAAAGTAACCACTGATGATAGTTATATCTTTCTGGTTTGTTTTGGGCCTCCAACATTAGGCATCAGTCGAGCAAGTCTCGTCCTAACTATTGACGCTTTATGTTGTTCGCCTGTTGATTGAAGTTCAATCGAGCATCAAGCATTTCGCCAAGGTAACAGATGTGAGGTTCTCTAGATTTCCAATCGTCACCTTGATGGTCTTTATTGTTCTTCTACTTATTTTTGTTGTGCTAATTGGAGGTTCATTGTTCCCATTGTATGTATGTGTGTGTTTGTGTGTGTGCGTATGCATAGATACAATTTTTCATCCACGTTTTTGGGAGCACGAATCGACCGATTTAAAATATTCAAAAGGCAATCGATTCCTATTGATAGGGAGATTAGTTTCAGGCAAAAGTCGGTTCAGTCGTTTCGGAGATATGAAGCAAAGAGTGCAGAGAATGGAAATTGAGCTTCTGAGAGAACAGATCATCCGATTTGAATGATTCAAAAAGCATTCAATTTGTAATGGTAGGGAGATGCTTTTGGCAAAAACAGGTCCAGCCGTTTCGGAGATACAGAGTTAAATATACAAAATGATAGTTTTTGAAGACAAAACAGCCGATTTAAATTTTTCAAAAAACTTTTGGCTTGTATTGACGAAGCAATTGTTTTTGGGAAGAACAAAAAGAAATTTATGAAATTTTCGGATTTATTTTTAATTCTAACTAAAATCCCAAAGCTCACTTATATACTTTAAATATCACTTAAGATAATATATTTATAACATTTAATATTTTCAGAATATTTCAATACTACATCACTAATTTTCACTGTTTTTTGGAATTTTCTTTGGAACATTTCATCAATAAAAATAAAACACTTCGTTATCTCAAACTGCCTGCCTTTTCCAAAAATTAGTCACCACGTCTTCTCATCAATACGATATTTTTAATTATTCAAATCGGTTGATCCGTGTTCACAAAATCGTCGACAAAAATTTGTATCTGCACAAACACACAAACATACATCTATTTTCTCTAAAGTATGACAAAATATTCAGACTCTTTTGAAACGTAAAGATATTAAAAAATTACATTTTCGATTTTTTTGCGATTGCTATAACTTAACCTGTCGGAAGTTAATATAAGGTAAATGTATATTTTAAAAAATTTGATTATTTCAAAGTTTTTAACCGTTTCAAATTTAATTGAAAACTTATGATATTGTTTTTATTCAACTTCCAGAAGACGTAGTATACTGAATCTTTTGAGACCAAATTTGGAATATGTGTGTGTATGTAAGCTGAAGTTTGACCTTTTGTTGGCGTTTTTTTCAAAAAACGGTTGAACATTTAAAATATTTAAAAGCCATTCTATGAAGCTCAATAAGGACTCCCGTTGATTAGTTCCTTTAACATCAGCAGGTAAGTGCCAAGTTTTTTGTTCCCGTTTTATCCAAAAATTCTGAATTGATTTTGAAAATTTAAAAACCGTTCGAAAGGTATCAATTGAGAATCGCGCTGATTAGTTTTTGGCAAAGATCGACCGGACCGTTTCTTTGTTTTTAAATGATATAATCTTGTTTTATTAGTAAAATTCTTCAATTTTAATAAATTAATTACACTCCTGATTACAGATTTTTTGATACTGCTTAATGTTATTATAAGAATTTTGTAAGAAAGGTGATATTATGAGAAATTAGCAGGTGTATTTTAAATTCTTCTATTTAAATACACCTTTCTCATTAAATTGTGATAACAACAACTTTCTTACAAAGTTATTATAATAATGTTAAGCATTATTAGAAATTATATGATAAGCAAATTTTATATCAAGGAAACTGTTAAAGGTCTGCGATGCCAGATACAAGCGCCTACTTGATAAAGTTATAATATCAAAATATTGAAATGTAGACTTTTTGTGAAAATTTTGTTATGCTATTCTAATATTTTTTTCTGCAAAGTTAATTATTAATGTTATATGTCTAATAATAATACTAGTGGGTGCTCTGCCAGAAGGCAGGTTCGTTAGGTTAGTTAAATTTCAACCCGAATTAGGGATGTATTGTATAAGAAATAGCCTACTGCCGTTCCACATGATAGTGTCTAACTGCCAAAATTAGAAACATATTTTTAAACTATATTTTCAAGTAATATTTGTTGAAATTATTATTAATGAAGGTTTTAATTTTGTAGAGTTTGTACGTGAAAATTTAGTTTTTGGTAATGCATTTGAACCAAATACGCAAATCATAGCGTTCGCAACATTAAAGCAATGACAAAACTGTTAAATATAATATTTTTGTTACAAATAAGTTTTATATAATACAGGAAATACATATATTAAAATTATTCTTCGATATCATTAAGATTTAATAGATCTGCTTGTTCTTCTTGTTCTCGTTTCTGCAACTCACTAAAAGTGGCCACAGCTCTTTCTCCAGCTTCCTATATATCAAAAATATTTTCAATAATTTGCAACAAAAACATGAAAAATGATCTTAATTGTAATCGGTTTTGTGCCAAGCAAAACATTCTTTCTTAGCTTCAAGCAAAGCATTCTTTAATTAGTTATCTCTTGCTTTCATCATCAATAAAAAATATAGAGCAATCCAAACATATGCACAGTATCAACGAAATTGATAGCCTCGGTCATATATTTGCATATGTTGATAATTGGGACAAAATGAATAAATTAGCAACAATTTCATAATGTATTCAGATATAAGTACTGTAGTACTATTATATTATTTGGATAACTATAAGAGCTTAAATGGAAACGATATTTGATAGAGTTGTGTATTACTTAGTTGTTATTCAGACTTGATATTTTTATTTGCCTTCTCAAATATATAATTGAATTTAGTAATTATAATTATAATCCTATACATATCATGCGATTTTATTTGTAATTGCTAATACTATAATTTGTTTTTGCAGTATTACACAAAAAATTTAGTCATTTTATAGAATAAATAATTATTATAAATTGTAAATATATCAAAGTCGATTATAATACACAGAAAAGTTACCCGTTTTAAAATTATTTTCAAGCATTTTTAGCCCGGTCAATTTAAACCTTAAATCAGGGTGAAGGTTACAATAATTCATAATGGGCTGTAACTTGGCAAAATTGTTTAAAGTAAAATTATAAAAAAATCTTTAAAGTCCTCATCGATCGGATGCGAGCTAAAAAATGGCGCAAGGCCGAAGGTAAAAAAAATGACCATTTTGCCATTTTTAGCTAAATGGTCAGTTTTATCGCAAATTTACATTAGACAATATTGTAGAGCATAAAATTATCCACAAAAAATGAGTCAATACTTTTTTTGCTCAGAGCCACCGTTTTAAAGATATACCACATTGAAAAGTGTGTTTAAACGCCAGGTAATGTGCTTAGCTCGTTTTTTAGATGGTTTTCCCAGTGCCAGTTTGCAAAATAATATTTGTAAATTTGGATTGATAAAAATAAAGGCAGTAAAATAAAAAAGCATCTAAATTTATTCCTGGGAGTCATAATTTTCAAATGTTTCTACAACTTTTTCGTATAGTTTTTCTTGATCTTCTCTTTTTTTTCTTTTTCTTCTACACTTTGAGTATAACATTTTCCTGGTTTAAAAAACACATAATTTGTTCAGTTGGTGTTCGAGCAGTTCCTCGCAAATAGTCACAACAAATCACGGATGAAAAACGATACGAAAAATGAATTATGAATTATTGTAACCTTGAATGCGTAAATTGACCGGGCATTCGTTGTCGACCTAGTATTATTATTACTTAATTTAATACAGATAATAAAAATTAATGCCAAACCTGCAGATTCGGGCTGTATTCGGTGTTTTCGAATGTATCCTCCATGTCATACAGTGAACTTGCAACACTGCCTTCAGAAGCTATTGCGCAAGCTGCTAAGTCCACTGCGCCACCATCAGTCGAAGTGTTGTCGAAACGGGCAAATAAGAAGGATCTTGTAAAATATGAATATTTTTTTTAAATGTTCACAGCCACAAACTGTCAAGATTACTTTCTCACCTTCTTGCTGCAGCTGGCAATATGTTTGGTATTCCAAATTGCGGTCTATTGAAATTGAGACCAAAACCAATTTTCTGCCTTGGACCGACATAAATATAGTAAATAGTGCCCAACATTGCACAAACAGCTACCAATGTAGATAAGACGATCCATACACCGATACTATGTCCCTTGGCATTATAGTAGTAGCCGCTGGTGAAGGTACTTTTTGAACGCAAGCCGAAGTTTCCTGTAAGTGAGTTTTGATTAGGAATTCCCAACAATTATATGTTGTGCCAAATTACGTCAGATTCGAAGCTATTTGTTGCTCTAGTATCATTGCTGATAAAAATACATCCAAACCGTCGAGTCTACAGTGATTATGATTTATCTGATATTGCCCAGTATACAAATATGCTATTAGTCATACTTTTACTGATATGTTCAATAACGGATTTTTTTTTATTAATAAACAGCAATCAAAATTACATAAAATAACTGTTTTTTAATCTCGATGAATATTTGATGCATATTGCAAAAAATACCATCAACTAATATAGCGGCTTTTTAGTTTTTCTATGGATACTTATGTAAGTATATAATCAATTCAATAATTTTTTGTTTGCAAAACTCAACATTTTTGCTGATGACGACAACGAGGGGAATTTTTTACTTCACTTAGGGTACTTATAGTAATGGGCTAAAAATTGAAAATGAAATTTTTTGCATTTCTCCACATTTTGAATGTTTCTGAACATTTTGGCATTCTTCAGAAAAAATGGATGGCGTATGTGTGTATGTATGATACAATTTTTCGGCCACGTTTTCGGGCGCACTGATCAACCGATTTGAATGGTTCAAAAAACATTCGATTCCTATTGATAGGGAGATGTGCTGATTAGTTTTGGCAAAGGCAGGTCCGACCGTTTCGGAGATATGGAGCAAAAAATCGAGTTTTTGAGACATCTGAGCATCGGCAGGTTCAGCCGTTATGGAGATTAAGAGCAAAGAGCGCAGAAAATAGAAATCGGGTTTTTGAGAGAACAGAGCATCCGATTTGAATCATCTCAAAAACATTCAATTTGTAATGATTGGGAGAAGCGGTGATTATTTTTCGGTAAAGGCAGGTCCAGCCATTTAGAATTTACTGAGCTAAATATACAAAAATTGCAGTTTTTGAGAGAAATAAGCATCCGATTTGAATGGTTCAAAAAAACTGCTTGTGTCGATAAAATAATTGCTTTTAGAAAAAAAAATTTAAATTTTTTTAATATCGAATATAATTGAGATTTCAATTTTAATTTTGGTTGAAGTTCTAAAGCTATATACTTTAAATGAATAATTTTAACTTTGTAATTCAGTTTAAATAATTCTTATAAATATTAGACAACGTTACAGTATTTATAATAAATCTATTTAAAAACATTTAATATTCCTCGAACATTTCGTTACGGTACGGAAAGTTCCAACAATATGCCTTAAAGCACGATGTCTTACACCACTAGTTTTTTTTTTAATTTTTCAAAAAAAAGAAGTTTTTCTAAGTGAAGGTACGATAGATCTTTGCCATTTAAACGAACTAACTAATCGTCTTTTAAAATTGGAAACCGTAGAATTAATCATGACATTTAATGCAGATTAATTTTTCTATGTCTGAAATAATGCTCGATGTTTATGAGTTCATGGTTCGTAAAGCCAAACAAGCGTTAATACTCGCAAGATGAATGATAAAAAAAGATAAATCACATATACGATTTTTAAATATTTGAAATTCCAAATATTGTACATATCTAGAAAATTACTTTGAAATACAAAAAATCTTACTTATTTATTTTTTATCTATGCAAAGGAAACAGTCGAAAATTCTGAAATGTATTGCAAATGCACCTTGGTATATTAGTAACCAAAAAATACACAAATGTAAGAATTGACACCCTCCAGAAAGTTGTGAAAAACAGAAAAGAAATCCGTCACGATAGACAGTAATCCTGCATTAATTCTTCGGTTCTTCTGCATTAATTAGGATCTCCAGCTAATAGCATAATGAAGAAGAAGCACCTCTTCGATCTAATTCATTTAAATGGAGTAGCCCTCTTGGGTGACCTCCCACGCGTCATGTATGGAGAACTCCAGTGCTACTGGAATTCTGATAATTAGCATAATAGCTTCTACAATTTTTTTATTTTCTGATTGGAATTTAGTTAGTGTTAAACAAATAGAGTTCTGTTTAAAAAATTGAATCAATTTTGAAACCACATAAATGAGGAAAATTTTAAAATTTTAATTTATTCAATTACCACCAATAATTCTTCTTTGAACTTCCGCAGCGCTATAGATGCTTCTTTCATTATATTCAGGTCCATCAGTTAACACCACTTGTATGAACTGCCTTTCTGCTTCAACGGTCGGATCTTCATTATCTGTCACCTTGCTGGCATATGCAATTAATTCACCTTTGCGTGACATTTCTTTCACAATCGAAGTTAGCGATTTACGAAAATCGTTCAATTTAAATGTTCTCACATCAATGAAATCGAATTGTAGTACCGCTCCTGGAATGAAGGAGAATTTGATTAAATGGAACAAAATTTCGTGAAAAATATATACGTTCCAGAGTCGAAGTTATAAAGAAAATCGTTTTTTATGCAAAAATGCGAATAGTGAGAAGATTGGGCAATTGACATTTTCGAGAATTTTAAAGAAACAAAAATCGAAAATAAAGATTCTTGATGCTATTGCTTGTTCTATGGGACCCCACGACTGGCTCAAATTCATATCTTTATCCCATTGGGGTTTATTGGAGACAGATTTATGAACTTCCAAGTTTGGAAGAACATTCTAACTGCCCATTCAAAGCTTGACTTATAAATGGAAGTTTGTTTTCATGAAAATTTCAATAATTTTCTATTCTCCTCTTTTGACAAGAAAATTAGAGAAATTTTATATGTATTTGTGTGTAATGTATGTGTGAATGTACGTATGTATAAAAGTAAATATTTATCACCGATGCAAATATGAAATATAAACGTCTGCCACATATGTTAATTTATTTAACTCGATTACAAGATTACACGTACACATTTTCCAAGTAATGTTTGAGGCGAAAATGAGTTGTTACGGTTGATTATATATAAATAAATTCAATATTGACTTTAAGATTAGTAAATATTATAAGGTTAAATGAAAAATTATCATTGTTTTTGCAATATTCTTAAGCCGATTGTGAAAATTGACTATTTAGCAATTTTATGCTCGCCATCACCACTTATGAAATGTGTTTATTATGATATTTTAATATATCTTAGAATTTTTAAACGCAAAAAGGCGTGCTTGTGAATATATAAAAAGAAGTTATAATTAGAAACCTAACGGTTACTTAAATAAGCTTTTACCTTAAGATAATTAATTATGGTTTCTAAAAGCTATGTGGATCAAATTAGATGATTTAATAAATTTGTTGGACGTTGATTTGAATTATCGTCTTTTCTCATAATCTGACGAAATAAACTAGGTAATACCAACACAGTCAAAAAGAAATCAAATTCATCAAATATGGAGTAAAATTTTTTACTGTAGACGTTTGAGAACTGACATCGAAAAGAAAGACGGTGATATCAGCTTTCCAAAACATCGTTTAGATTGCTTTACTTCGTGTATTTTAAAAGAGAAACAGAAAAAATGCGAAAAAATATAAATGAAAAAAAAACAATAGAATGCCAACACTTATCAGATTCCCACGTTTCAAAGGTTTCTGAATATTTTGGCATACCTCAGAAAAAGTGGATGTGTGGATAGACAATTTTTTGTCGACGATTCCGGGCCTATGGATAAACCGATTTGAAAAATACAAAAGTTTTTGGCAAAAGCAGGCCAACCGTTTCAGAAATACGAAGCTAAATGTGCTAAAAATTGCAGTTTTCTGCAATAAACTCACTGCTTATGTTGACGAAACGATTGATTCTGGGGATTCGGATTTTAATTTCAATTCTAGCTAAAGTTCTAAATATCACGTATATACTTTAAATAAATGATTTTAACTTTGCAATTCTGTTCATATAGTTCTTATAAATATTGAAAATATTTGAATATAAAAAAAATCAGGTAAAAAATAAATACAAGTAATATCTTGCTACACCCCTCCCCCCACGTGATATTTTGTCATTTTTTTTTGTCAAATAACCCCTCCTCCTAAAAAACCTCACGTGATTAATCGACGCCCCCTAAACGATTCAATAAAATTTCTTAATCTCTAATTTGTATTTATAATTATAGTTGCATAGGTTTTTACCACATATGCTGCACACATTTCCTATTGGCTTCACTGGTTGGACGCAGTTTGGTAATTCGCAAACGGTCGAGTTCTTCATATGTCGCATGAGAGTGGCGCGCACTGACGCCTTAGGGTGACAGAGGCAACCTGAAGGGTCGTTGCATTGTCCACTGAAGACTTTCATGAATGTATCCAGGCCCTCAGTTGATTCCGAATCCGTATTTCGAAACATGCGCCCGCCTACTTCGGAACGTATAAATCTTTCCCAATCGCTTCCGTATAAATCCTGTGTGGTAATTACATTAACTGCATTAATTTCATAAAAAAATCCATTCGATTGTACAAAATTAAATTAGTCCTCGACATTCTATACATAATATTATTCACTTCCTATAGGGTAAGTTATTGTAATTGTCCAAAAATGAAAATTGAAAATTTTGGCATAAAGACGTTTTAAAAGTTTCTGAACATTTTGGCATACCTCAGAAAAAATGGATGTATGTGTGAGTGCGTGTGTATATGTATGTGTGGACACAATTATTTGTCCACGTTTTCGGGAGTACTGCTCAACCGGTTTGTATAATTCAAAATGTAATTCATTCCTATTGATAGGGGTATGTGCTGATTAGCTTTCGGAAAGGTCGGTCCAGCCGTTTCCGAGATACGAAGGAGAAATGAGAGATGAAATTAAGTTTTTGAGAGAACCGGGCATCCGATTTGAAAATTCAAAAAACATTCAATTTGTCCTGATGAGAAGAAAATGTGATTAGTTTTTGGCTGGCCGTTTCAGATAATGAGCTAAAAGTGTAAAAAATGACAGTTTTTATGTGAACAATGCAGCCGATTCGAATGTTTTAAAAAACACTTTGCTTGTGTAGAAACGATTAGTTTTTGTGGAAAGTAAAATAAAAATTATTTCTATTTTATATTTCTATATTAATGCAGCCGATTCGAATGTTTTAAAAAACATTTTGCTTATGTAGAAACGATTAGTTTTTATGGAAAGTAAAATGAAAATTATTTCAAAATTTAAAAAAAATTGAAATTTCAAAGTATTTTTTTTGAATATCAAAAATGTTTTGGATTTTAATTTTAATTCTAAAACTCGCTTATATATTTCTAATAAATAGTTCTAACTTTGCAATTTAGTTTATATATTTCTTAGAAATATGAGATAAGATCCTTCATTTTAACTCTGCTTGATCAAGTTTTGTTTATTTACTTTTCATGTATACATATAATAAAGTCCGTGTCCAATTTATAAGATCTTATATTTTGTCTAAAAAATACGAACAGCATTTATAATAATCTATTTGAAAGCATTTAATATTTCTTGAATATTTTATTACGGTACGGGGAATTCCAGCAATTTGCCTCAAGGCACGATGCCAGGCACACAAGTTTATATTTATTCTTAATTAGTTTCCCAGCTACATCAGAATAGTTACATACACTTTGAGCAATCATTCAATATATCTCGAGCGTTTTTATTTGCTATAAAGCACACATTTGAGAAAAATCTAAATTTTCCGAAACAATATCGGTCATCCTAGACTGTTGAGTGCCTACTTTAAATGTTTCAACTTCTATATTAAATGTTTTATTGGTAATAAACTATGGTATCAAAAAAATTGCTTGTGTTTGCTTCCCACAGGGAAGCTCAAAAAACTTAATAAAATTATTTGATACTTAATACATTATTTGATCGATATCTTTTATATCCACAAGTTCTATAAATAATATAAAATGTACATACATATATCAAATTGAATAGCATAGAATAAAATTCAATGGAATAACATAAGAATAAAGGTTTAGAGAACGTAGTGCTCGTGCCAATTTGAGTTTCTATTTTTATCGCAGAAGCTGAACTCAATAATAGCATTCAAACCTTTTATGGAAAATTATATTATGGCTATGGCTTAATGGCATCGCGCCTTAAGCCAACTTGTTGAAACTTCCCGTACTAAGAATTAAGTTTTTAAAAAAGATTCAATTACTTTAGAACTTTGAAAAAAATAGATTTTTGAGATTTTAAAATTTCTTTTAAAACGATTGACTTTTTTGAAAAATTTCAATGTTTTTATACTTTGAAATATTTAGTAAATTTTAAACTTTTTTTTAAAGCAATCGGGATACGTTAGCTGCGTAGAAAGTGCGAAACTAAATATCGAAGCGCATGGGGCCCGCATTGCAGTATAACGGATAAACATTGGTACGGAACCTTACTATTAGGATATCTATAAAATATGTGAAATATTATTTGATGTGCATATGTCTAATGATCATTTTTGTCCACCAAATGGCATTTGTTTTACTTTTTTATTCGATCTCCGAATCCGCTAGACCTGTCTTTTCAAAAATTTTATCATTCTCCATTTTGCCATACAAAATAAAATGTTTTTTGAATCATTCCAATCGGACTCTTGTTGCCTCAAAAATTGAATTACATTTTTGGCACTTTTTGCTCCGTATCTTCGGAACGGCTGAACCTGCCTTTGACAAAAACTAATCAGCACGTCTCCTTATCAATAGGAATCGAATGTTCTGTGAATTATTCAAATTGGTCGATCCGTGTTCTCGAAATTGTCGGCAATAAATTGCACACACGCACACACATAACTTCGCTCATTTAAAAGATAAGTATAAAATCAGTGCAAGAATGATAATATTCTAGATCCTCCCTATGGGAACCAGAGGCAAGGGCAAAGCGGAAGTTTTAGTCGGTATTATAACCAGGCGGGTATAGAGTTTGACATACCCAGACAAAAGACCAGTCTGGGATGCATAAATACATTTCCTTCGCTATACAAAATAAATCACACCCGCACACACACATACATCAATTTTTTCTAAGGTATGCCAAAATAATCAGAAACCTTTAAAACGTAAAGATATATAAACATTTTCATTTTTTTTGCGATTACTAGTGATTGAATTGAATTGAAACTATATTTAGCTACAATGAAATTAGTTCGGAATTGGGCTTTGGATATTTTTGTTAAAGCAGATGCTTATTCACTTTAAATAAGTTTTACTTCTTACTGACTGTGATATATATATTTTTATGTTTATAATTTCTATTTCGAGTCAATAAGTTACTTACAACCGAATTAATTTGTATTCCGGATATTGAGTAACCAAAAGTATGCGGTAAAACTACTTCGAATCCACTGTCTCCTTCAAAGATAGCGACATCAGCCTGGCATGGAATTTTTTCAGCATCAGGAACGAATACCACGATTCTTTCAGTTGGTCTTCATTTGATGACATCAGATCCCAATTTTTTGGATCTAGCCAGAACCATCGTTTTAAACGTCTAATAAGTAATAAATTACAATAAATAAGATCATAGTTGTATAATAAAAAACTATTACTGTATAAGGCCAACAGATAATAGAGAAATGCGGTTATAGAATTAATTTAAACTTATTATTTTGACGCTGCTATTTTTTCAAACTGAGGAGGAATATTTTATTGTTTGTATATAATGTATTCCAATGTTATAACAGAATTATAACATAACACTAATGTTATCGTTCCTTCAGTTTTCTAAATTATTTGTTGATGACATATGCATAGAGATGTTACATGAATGTATTCACATACCTACTGTTATATAGATGGAATTTTGCTAATAAGTTTTAAACTTTTTATATAAGAAAATAATTGAAATTGTAAACATAATGTCATGAAATGGAATCAAATCAGTGAAATGAAATCAAGCTTTTAATAGTTGGAAACTGACATGTTTTCTGTTATTTTGATTGAAGTCAAGTTGGTCGCTTCGAAGACTTTAACATTTTAAAAAAAAATCTAAGGTAAATTATTGAACAAGTAAATTGTGGAAATCTAAATTAGTAGGCTGATAAATAGGTTGACGGAAATATTGGTGAACTGGTAAATTGGTGGACAGATAAACAGGTAAATAGGTATATACGTAGACATGTGAACAGGTAGACAGGTAAATTGGTAGATAGGTAAATTGAAGGATATGTTAAATGGTAACCAGGACAACTTGTAGATAAACAAATATGTAGACAGGTAAATTGGTAGACATGTAAAGCAGTTTGATAGGAAATTGTAGGCAAGTAAAACGCTGGATTAATAAACAGGTTGTTAGGTAAATTCGTAGACAAGTTGATCATCAGGTAATTGGTTGACAGGTAAACTGGAAGACAGGTAGAGAGGTAGACAGATAGACATGAAGACTGAAGAAAATTCTTCGGATACAATTACACTATTTTAGATACAGAATTTGTGTAATAATTTTTATAATATTGGGTACGAAAAAAAAACTACTCCTGTTGTTAATAGTTACTTTCAAAACTAATTCTTAATGGTGTTGTGATTAAATTAAGAAATAAAGCGTAATTTAATGTTTGGTAAATTAGTCTTTATAATGTTGGTCACGTGTTTAATGAATATATTAATGCTAATAGTTTTAATCACTTAAAATATAATCTATTACCTAAAGTGTTTATCGCCACTAGGACAAAATTTTTCTTCATTTCGGTTTGGTTCCTTGATAATAAGTTCACCAATGGATGGCAGCAATAATTCTCCTGTAAAGATTAATTTAACAGAATTACTTAAAATAATAAAGAACTAGTGGTGCAGGGCACTGTGCGTTAAGGCAAATTGCTTGAACTTCCCGTACCGTCAATACCAATCAAATGTTTTTTGAATCATTCAAATAAGTAAGGCAGTTCTAGCGGTTTCGGCGATCCATTAAAAAAAGTAAAAAAAATGCCATTTGGCGGACAAAAATGATCATTAGACATATGCAGATAAAATTATCACATATTTTATAGATAATTTAATAATAATAACATATTTTGTTCATAGGTTCCGTACCAATGTTTATCCGTTATACTGCGCCCACGTGCTTCGATTGTTCGTTTCTTCTACGCAGCTAACGTATCGCGACTGCTTTGAAAAAAAGTTCAAACATTTCCAAAATATTTCAAAGCATTTAAGAATCATTTTTTTCAAAAAGGTCGATTATTTTCAAAAATTTCAAAGATCGATTTTTTTTAGAGTTCTAAAAGAAAATTGAATCTTTTTTAAATTTTTGATACAGGAAGTTCCCGCAATTTGCCTTAAGGCACGATGCCATGCAC